AAGGAATTTATGGAAGTAACGGAGAGCAGGATTATGGATCTCATCATTATTCATGTTATTTGGTTCAGGGTGGTAGTTTCCGGTTAGAGTTCCCCAAAAGAAGTCTAGCTCCACATCCATCAATTCTACCTGTGTGGTAGTGAAAGCGAATGGTCCACTAGGGAATCCTAACAAGTCAGCTAGTTCTTTATGGTTAAAGTCGTATTCTATTCCAAATAGGCGGAAACTAATAAATCCTTTTCTAAATCCAAAACCACGCTCAGGTAGGTAAAGGAAGGAGCTAAGGAACTCAAGGGTAAGCTCACGGTAAGTCGCAAACTTATGTTGGATCAATTGGGTTGGGCCCTAAAGGGCACCCAATTTTGTGAAAGGAGTGAGGACACATCCATGACCAACAAGACACACACGCGCGCGCCGCCGCCGTCCGTTTGGCCGGCTCGACTCGGTTCGGTCCGGTCTAGATGAATTATTTTTTGGACCCAAATTTATATAATTTAATTATCATTAATTAAATAATATAATTCGGTGGAAAATTAATTAATAATAAATATTAATTAATTAAGAAAATAATTGGTCAGTAACTGACTAGATCCAGTCCTCCACGATTTTCTCATTCTCCCACCATTTTCTCCACTCACCACGAATTTCTCCCTTCTCAGGTGCAGGTAGCTGCCTATAAATACAGGGTAGAAATTCAGTAGTGAGTACATCGGATTTCACAAGTTCACACGAATTTTGATTTCCTTCTTCTCTCCCTTAATTCTCTTCATCTAAAATCTTTCTTTTCTTGTTTTTCCGACTGGTTATTTTCGCCAGTTTCGCCAGATACTAACTTAGAAAGATATATTTCTAGAGCGATTTATTAGTGTGCAATTGATAATCGTAAGTTTTTTGAACGAGCTGTTTTATCCTGGAGGCGTCGTCGTAAATCGACTGCTTTGCATAATTTGGTAGTACGGCGAAACGTCTTAAAGAAAGCGACCTAGTACGCGACTCGTCCCGAAAATTTCCTTGTGCCAAACTATTTTTCAAATCCGAAAATAACAAAAAGTATTAATACATGATTAAACCTCCAAAAACTTGTTTCTCTTAAATCTTGTGGTTATGCTTGTGGATGGACCTAGACCTTGGACTTCATGGATTATTCTTGCACCTTTGGACATAGAATTAGGTTTCCTTCCATATGCTTGGATCATTATAGATTTGAGATCTTGACCTTTATTTGTCTTTGCTTATTGGCTTATGCTAAAGGTGGAAGGAATTCTTATTTGGCTTGCTATGAAATTTGCTATCATGTGGTTAGATCTTCCCATCTCTAGCTATTATTTTGCTTTATAGGATAGTCACTTCTTCTACACCCCTTATTCAATTTTCAAAATCTTCTCCCTTTTTCAAAACCTTTTTGTTTTCATAGTTAAACCCCTTTCATAATAAACCTTGACTTTGGTTAAGTGATTTTTTCAAACTTTGTTTTCTTTAATAAATGTCAATCAATGTTAATCATATTTTGACTAATTTTAAAAGACATAAAAAATACAAAAAAACTCATTCAAACTTTTTGTGCCTTTGTTCACTTTTATTTATTTAAAACTTTTCAAAAAGTTTAGACATAAGTCATTTTCATAGTTGGAATGTAATTCTCATATTCTCCATAGTATTTAAGATTCGACATTTTCCACTTAGATGTTGAGTGATAAACTTGTTGATTTTAATCTATGGTAAATCCTCCATCTTTAGGTGATGCAAATGTTGTCCTATGGGTGACTAATCTTAGTTTTCTCCTTAAAAATGACGACTTGTCTTTTCATTTAAAATAAATTAAAAAAAAAAACTATTTTTGTTATTTATACCATGAACTACGAGGTTTTGATCCTATTTAGCACTTTGTGGGTACGTAGGATGAAGCGATAAGTCTCTCCAAACATAAAAATATAAAAAAATATACTTCTTTGCTCATCTTCTCAATCTCATTTCAAACAAACCTTTTCAAACCATAAAGCGTAAGGATTCCTATAGAGTACATTAGACTTTTGGGTGCTAAAACCTTCCCTTAGCGTAACCAAACCCCCTTACCCATTCTCTATTTGTTCTTGTTTAGAACTCTTTAAGTTTTGTTCGCTCTTTTTCCTTTCCTTTTGGATAAAATAAAAATGAGGTGACGACTCTTTCTTTATGAGTTAAGTTAATCAATAGCTTACACTCACAAATTTTTCCGTTACAGCTGTTACATAAGATCTAGTATAGTGATACCTCTAAATTAAGTTAAGAATAGAGATATTTGCTAATAATTCTTCATTAATTTGTGATAGACCATAATCAATTCGTCAAAATAACTCGAACTAAAAAAAAAGAAGACAGACATTCTAAAATTTGAATTTTTTCATTGAATCTTAAAAATACACATTCAAACTTAAAAAATGTGAGATTTACAAAAAAAGTCTAGTAAATCTAAGCATTGATTATCAACCACCGTTCTTCATGTTTTAAAGTCACATTCATCTTCATTTGGAGGCTTTATGAAGACTTTCATATCCCATACAAAGAGAGGGAGTCTAAGCATAATCATGAGAAATAGAGTTCTAACCTTTTTGGGAAAAATAAATTTTTATTTCTATCGTGCTTTTGTGAGACTTAAGAAATATTATATATATATATATATATATATATATATATATATATATATATATATATATATATATATATATATATATATATATATATATATATATATATATATATATATATATATATATATATATATATATATATATATATATATATATATATATATATATATATATATATATATATATATATATATATATATATATATATATATATATATATATATATATATATATATATATATATATATCACATATATCTGAGAGATAACTCTTGTATCAAATCAGTTATTTTTTAATAAGCAAGAGTTATTTTTTCCTATAGTAAAAATATTTTACTAGATTAGATCACATGCTTTTTTTTTTTTACATTGAAATATTTTTTCACATAAATTTTTTTGGTTCGATTTTCTTACTCCATTCTCTTATTATCCGCTTAGTGCCAATTTTGAGCTCACATAAAAGAAAAATTATACAAACAATTTTCAACATTTGTTTGGTTTTTGAGTTTTGAAGATGATGAATATTAAATAACTATTATTGATAAAAAAACTTGTAAGGTTGATTCAATTTATAAAAAATTGCCTCATATTGTCAAAAAAAAGGAGAAATATATTAGTAGTAAAATGCATGAGAAATATATATATATATATATATATATATATATATATATATATAAATAATTTTATTTACAGAAAGAAATATATGAATGGTTCGTAACAAAGAGACTCAGTTTTTCTCTTCTTATTTTTTTTTATCAATTTATTCTTTTAAATAAAGTTAGAAATAACATGTCAAAATGAATGGATATGAGTGTTAAACATGACTTGTGTAGGAATGACAAAAAAATTCATATTCGTGAATAAAATCCGTCACGGATATAGAGCGGATAATTTAATTGATATTCCACAGATAAAATAAATAGATATTTAAATACCCATTTGTTAATGGATATGGATACGAATTTAATGATATCCGTGTCCGCGGATATCCATATCCGTTAATAAATTATAAAAATTATGTAAATATTATTAGTTTATTATATCTTATATTTTATTCTTCTAAAAAAATTAGTCTTCGTTTATATATATTAAATTTTCTTTGAAAAAAACCTTTCATATTTCATTCAACTTCTATTAGCCATTTCATATTTAAACTCTGGAATACTTCATACCTCACTTCAACAATTTTACGGTCTAACAAACGTGTCGTCATTCCGCGAATAAAATCCGTCACGGATATAGAGCGGATAACTTAATTGATATTCATAGATAAAATAAATAGATATTTAAATACCCATTTGTTAATGGATATGGATACGAGTTTAATGATATCCGTGTCCGCAGATATCTATATCCGTTAATAAATTATAAAAATTATGTAAATATTATTAGTTTATTATATCTTATATTTTATTTTTAAAAAAAAATTAGTCTTCGTTTATATATATTAAATTTTTTTTGAAAAAAACCTTTCACATTTCATTCACATTCTATTAGGCATTTCATATTTAAACTCTGGAATACTTCATACCTCACTTCAATAATTTTACAGTCTAACAAACGTGTCGTCATTCTTCTGTTAAACCAGTGTGTTTCTTCATACTCATCTGTCGCCCGCTATTTCATTATAACTCACAATCACAATATCCTTTATTTATTTGATTAAAAATGAAATGTATAAATATTATGTTTGGATCTAATTCTATTTTGGTGAATATGAAAAAAATCAAGGTGATATAACTTTATTGTAAAATTAAAAGCGAATTGTACGGATGTTATGCGATAATAAATCTTTGTGTCTTTAAAAGAAGTTAATAATATTTTTTATAAAAAAAATATTATCCACGGATATTTGAAAATATCCGCGAATTATCCGTTTAACGGATACTCACATATATATATATATATATATATATATATATATATATATATATATATATATATATATATATATATATATATATATATATATATATATATATATATATATATATATATATATATATATATATATATATATATATATATATATATATATATATATATAAGGCGAATATAAATATCATATTTATCTAACGAATGAATACTGATATCATAATATCCATTCCCACGAATATCCATTTACATCCCTAACCTATGGGTGAAATATAAAAAGGGAGAAAGATGGTGTATAACTGCTACTATATGTGCAAATAGCCTTCTCACCAATATGGGTTGGAGCGAACATTTATAAACCGGCCCACTTTAGCCCATTAAGATAGCGTAATAAAACAACCAAAAAGCTGACACAAATTTAAAATCAGATTCGAAATCGAAACAGAACCCTAGCTTTTTTCAGAGCGAGAGAAACGCAGTAGACGAACGAACAACAACGATGTCTGGTGCTGCTCCCACTCCCAACGCCGATGAAGACAAGAAACCTAACGATATCGCTCATATCAATTTGAAGGTCAAAGGCCAGGTTCGTTTTTCCTTTTCCTTTTTTGATAATTGTAATAGTGATTTCATGTGTTGAGTTTTCCGATCGATTTGTGTTTTATTCCTTTTGGTGTTCGTTGTTTTTTATACTGTATCTGTGACTTGCAGTGATTTTTTCGTTCTTTTCGTGTTGTTTTTCAATAATCTGATTTTTCTGTTACAGGGTTATAACATATTAATCTTTATGTGTAGTGTGTTTGTGTTAGTTTTAGTCCATAGATGGATGTTAATATGAATGTTTAAAGAGTGTATGACAAATAAAGTAGTAGAATCCTTTGAAGTTTGTGTTAGTTTTCGGTAGATTTTTTAACCGGGTTTCAATATTATTATATCATTGTATGTGGATATGGCGTGTAGGTTTGAAGAAGAGACTAAGGCGCTAATCAAAATTCGCGTTTCTTTTGATCTCTGAATACATCCTGTAGTAAATTTGTTTTCCCGTGGGCGGTGGCAACTAACTTCGCATCCCACATGTTTCATTTTCTATTGATTAACTGTGTGACGCATTGACCCCTTTGTTGCTGTTTTGGGGTACATAAAAAATCATCCATGTAACGCTGGCATGCTATATGTATCTTCCCTATGTAACCCTGATAATGTTATGTATACAAAATGTTTTCTAGAGTATTTTGATCGAGTATGCATAAGCTTGCTTCCAATTCCATGTCAGAGGCAAGTGAAAACATGTCCATCTAAAAGCAAGAATTAGTTGTTCTGACATAATGCATTGTCATTAGGACTCAAGAGATGTTGTTAAACCACTCAACTAAATATAGGTTGTGAGGAGTCGAGGGCTTGTCCTTTTTTTGTTATGCATCATAATTTGATTAAATCCTAAACATATCCTGATCCAGGTCATCTTACGGTTTCTTGGTTCTTTGATGTATCAGTTGGTTTGCCTGTACTAGTTTGACATTATTTGTTTGTAAATTTATGCTTTTTTTTATAAGTTTAGCATTACGTCTGGTTACTGTAATTTATAATTATAATCTTTGTTATACATCTGTTTACTGTAATTTATAATTATAATCTTTGTTATAACATTTTATATTAATTAGATACTACAGCAGCCAACCATGTGTACCCGCATGTAATGAATTTTTTACAAGCAGTGTACAAATACCCGGAGAAATGTGAATTAGGAGACCACAATCCATATGTCTCAGAATATCAGTTTTTTTCATAAATTTATTATATATGTGCTATTTTTTGTTTCAATTCAAATTTTGCTGGAGTATTGTGGTTGCACTTTGTTTTGTAAGGTTTCTCTACTTCAGTGAAATTTGGACCTCCGATTTGCTATTCCTCATTTGACTAATTTACATGTTTTGCATGTGGTTGAATGATTCTATGTTATATGTTTGTTTTATCTCTGTTCTATTGATAGACATCTTTTTGTGGAGACTCAAATTTATTGTAGTTGTAATTGTAATGTTTTATATTTGCAAGTTTATTTATTTGCATTTGTTTGATGATTCTTGATTAAAACAAGATTTTGTTAAACATTTTGTAGTCACAGTTGTTATGTTTTGTATTTGCAAGTTTTTGTTACCAGTAAACAGTTATTCATTCCCTCTGCCACTCTTCCGTGTTCCCTCGCGCCTATAAAACTTGTTTATTTTATATTATTGTTATATCTCCTGGCATCTTTCTAGAACAACACATTGTTGATATCATTGCTCATTTACATGTATGCTTTTTGTTCCCAAAGAACATTTCAACATTCTAATATTGCCCTCATTTGATGACAACACTAGGTCATTTGGTTGATATGATAATTTTGAATGTATTATGAACCAGTTCATATGATTTATTTCATGTTGAATATTGTTATGAACTATATGTTTGCTCACATCGTACCGACACCGACACCGAGTCCATGGTCTAAGCATTTTTTTTTACATGATTGTAGGATGGCAATGAAGTATTCTTTAGGATAAAGAGGAACACTCAACTGAAGAAGCTTATGAATGCATACTGCGACCGTCAATCTGTGGACCTCAATTCAATTGCCTTTTTATTTGATGGACGCCGACTCAGGGCAGAACAGACTCCTGATGAGGTTTGTACTTTGTCCCTCTCCTTGACTTTGTTTTTTTGACTCTGGAAATATATGTAGTAAATCATGCATTATAACACTTAATTTTCTACTTAATTTTCTACTCTTCAGCTTGAAATGGAGGATGGCGATGAGATTGATGCAATGTTGCACCAAACTGGTGGAACCCTATCAGTTTAAGTTATTCTGCTGGTTCTTGTTAAAACTTAAATACATATTTAGGGAATAGTTATTTGGGTGTATGCAACTTATTGATTTGCAATGAGAACTGTGATAGACATCTTTAATTTAGACCTTATTTGAAAAATCTGACATGCTCTCGGGGAGTTTTGTCAGTAAATGTTACTATGAAATTTGGTGTTTTCTGTTTGTCCTTTTCGAGCCTACAGGAGAATATCTTCTTGGTAGAGCTTTTTCTTTTATGCTAACATGGGAATTGTTTAGTAAATGATAATGTACTTGTTTTATAACTGACTCATGAGAATTGTTTTAAAAATTTGTTTCTTAATCCTAATCCCTAAACCGGACTGATAAATTGGTGCTTTTAATTTTTTTTCATGAAGTATGCCGAACATGTTGGTGCCTTTTGAATTATATGGAAGCCTTTTGCCTTTCCTAAGACCAAGTAGTTAGTTATTAATGTCGTGAGGGCTAAGTTGAGATTTAGCAAATAATGATGGGTCGTGTTTTTTCTTTATCTTCTTCAAACCCTTTTGGAAAGTAGCCCTAAAGCAAGATCTTTACAGTTCTCTTTTTGTTTCTGAAAGCTACTGCTGTGGTATATGTTAGGAAAATTAAGATTAATTATATTAATTTAAAATGCCTCTTGTTGAAGGTGTAATCACAACTGTTATCATTAGTTCTATGCCAAATAACACCGTAGAAATGTAATTGCTTTTTTTTTATTTTTTATATAAATGACTTCATAAAGTCAACAAAATATTTTTATGAGATTAATTGATAATTTTACATTATCATTCAATAAAAAATCAATAGTATGCTATGTCACTAATTTTTTTGAAGGCATAATTAGATCTTTGGTCTCCTAACTTTAAACGAAGTTTCGCTTTGGTTTTCAAATTAAAAAATATAAATTATTTCTTAACTTTGTTTTTGTTAAATCCTTTGGGCTCTACCGCTAGTTTGTGTGGAAAGACGTTAATTATGGTTGAGGTGGCATGGCGGTAAGTAACAAAGTAAATTGATTGAACAAACAGTTTTTGTGCTTTTTTTTCTCCCTCTCATCCATCTTTTCTCCATCACAAATCATAGAACAAAGAAAATCAAAAATCATTCAAACATTATCCACATGAATTTCAAACATTATCCGCATGAATCTCAAAATAACAAATGATTATCTAGATCTAACCCATCAACCAACACACATGCTAAACAATATTAACTATCTAGATCAAACCCATCAACTAACACACATGCTAAACAATATTAAAAAGACGAAAAACTATCGTATCAAAAAAAAATTTATCATATCAAAAACACAATTGTTATCATGACAAAATAGGCAAACAAAATAAAACAATATTTAACATATGCCTCACATTTTATCTTATAATCACAAAATAATCAAAACCCAAACACCTAAAACTTAGAAAAGGAACCAACTTTGAAGAAAAGGTGAAATTTTTCATAAAAGAAATTGGTGAAATCGTAAACAAGATGAAGAAAAAGGGAAAACTTTTTATAGAAGAAATTGGTGGAATTGCAAACAAGATAAAGAAAAATGTGAAATTTTTCATAGAAGAAATTGGTGAAATTGCAACAAGATGAAGAAAATGTGAATTTTTTCATAGAAGAAATTAGTGAAATTACAAATAAAACAAAACACATTAGGGTTTTTCATAGAAGGAAAGAAACAAGAGGAAGAAAAAGGAAAGAAACAAAGCTCATTAGAGTGATTAATTAGAGTCAATGAAAAAGGTGAAAAAGGAAAGAAACAAAAAGCATTAGAATTGATTGTTTTTTTTTTCCAGGTTGTGATGATGTTAATTAAAAATTGATATTTCATGTATTGTTTTTTTATTTATTATTTATAATATTTTAATTAATATAAAATAAATGAATATTTCAATTTAGTCATTAAAAGTCTAACAAAACATGTTTTAACGTATTTTTAACAGAAAAGACTAAAATATGTAACTGAGTATAAATTAATGGACCACTATGTAACATTTTTTTTGAGGGAGCAAAGAGAAACACTAAGTAGAGTTAAAGGACCAAAAGATGTATTAAATCTTTTTTTAAAATAGGCTTAATTGCAACTTTGGTTCCCCTATTTTGTGTTTTTTTGGGTTTTGATCCCTCCATTTTAAAAACCACCATTTAGGTCCCTATTTTAAGTTTTGAGTTTGATATTAGTCCCTTTGCCATTTTAAGTCATGTTTTTAATGATGTGGCACGTTGAAAGATGTGGCATTTCCATGTCATTTAAAATGGTTTTATTCACCAAATATCATTTCCATGTCATTTATTTTTTTGATTTTATTTATTTATTTTTTTTTGATTTCATTTTTCAGGAAATTAAATTCACTTTTGTAAAACCCCAACGCACGAAGAACAACCCATTTCTTCAGCCATTTCTGTAGCCAATTCTTCAAACCCGGTTCAGGAATGAAGATTCTTACTCTTCCACTTTCACGCACGAAGACAAACCGTAATTAAAGATTCTATATTTGTCGTTGCAAATCAAACCACAAATCAACTCCCGTTGTCGCTGTAGTAGCTAACTCGTCTCTGAAATGGCAAACCGAAGTTACGTGTCGATGTATGTTTCATATCTCAACTCGGAATTCAAAAACCCTAAACACGCAAATGTCGTTTGTGTTCTGTCATAGCATATGATTTGTTTATACCCTAAACTCGCTGTAGTAGTCTTAATTTGATGTGGTCCCGTTTTTATCTATGTTTTAATTTGTTCCAGTTCTGTTGTATGTTGGTGGTCTTGTAACTGAAATGAATTGGGATTGGGATGTGGACTTGATGTCCTACATGCAAATTGAAGATTTGATCAAAAGTGAGGGGTATCGTAATATAAAGTGTTTATGGTATTGGAATCCTAAATTTTTCTTTTCTCGTGGACTTCGGCCTCTGAACAATGATAATGATGTCTTAAGGTTAATGGAGGATGTTAGAGGATTTAAGGTAGTTGATATTTATGTTGAACATAAAATTGAAGAAATAAGTATAGGATATTATTTTTGAGGAGAATAATGGTGAAAAAGTCAATGGTGAAAGAGCAAACAGTGAATTTAATGTTGAGGGATTAAACAGTGAAGTTAATATCGAGGGAGCAAATGATGAAGTTAATGTTGAGGGAGCAAATGATGAAGTTAATGTTGAGGGAGCAAACAATGAAGTTAATGTCGAGGGAGCAAATGATGAAGTTAATGTTGAGGGAGAAAACGATAAAGTTAATGTCGAGGGAGCAAATAATGAAGTTAATGTCAAGGGAGCAAACGATGAAGAGGTTAGTGTTGATGGAGTAGATGAAGAGGTTAGTGTTGATGGAGTAGATGAAGAGGTTAACGTTAATGTTGATGACGTAGATGAAGAGAGTGAAACAAATCCAGATTATAGCATGGGCAGTGAGGATGACGAGGAAGAGGATGAAGATTTGAAAGATGAAATTGATGAGATGAATTTAGGTGCTGGCGTTGGTATCAATTGGAAGACCGTTTTACCTAATGCTACAACAGAAAAACCTTCAAAGTTGGATGGTAATTCCGATAATGGTAGTGATTCAGATGTGCTTCAAACTCCACCCGGTAGTGATGCTGAGGGTGATATGGCAAAGTTTCCAATCTTTAGGGAAACCACAAAATTTGAAGTAGGGATGATGTTCAAGGATAAACCACAAATCAAAGATGCCATAAAGGAGTATGCAATGGAGAACAAGAAAAATCTCGTATTCAAGAAAAATGACAAGAAGAGAATGGTTGTCAAATGTTTAGATGGTTGTCCATTTTATATTAGGTTTAGCATGAGGACTATCAACCAATATTGGCAACTTGTTAGCTTAACTAATCGTCATGGTTGTCATAGGACAGCCAAAAATAGACAAGCAAAAACAGTTTGGTTGGGTCGCCAATTTGTGTACACTATAAGACACACTCCTGAAATAAAAACCAAAGGGCTGATTGCAGAAGCTATTAAGAAGTAGGGGGTGAAGTTGTCAAAGGATCAAGCTTATAGAGCAAAGAAAAAGGCAATGAAATTGATTCAAGGTGCTGGTTGTGAACAATTCACACATCTTAGAATCTAGGTGATGAGTTGTTAGTCAAATCCAAACTCCACTATTAAAATTAAGTGTGCTGACTCAGATGGTGGTCCTGTCTTTGAAAGAATATATGTATGCTTAGAAGCTTGTAAGGCAGCGTTTGCAACGACTTGTAGGCCTCTAATAGGACTGGATGCTTGTTTTCTTAAAGGGGACTTTGGAGGTCAGTTAATAGGTGCTGCTGGTAAGGAAGGAAATAACAAGATTCATCCAATCGCTTATGTCGTCGTGGAAGCTGAAACGAAAGACTCTTGGCAATGATTCCTTAATTTGTTACTAGAAGACTTACAATCTATTCAAGACAACAAATATGAATTTATATCAGATCAACAGAAGGTTAGTTTTACAGTGCTGCTATTTGTTATATTTGTTATGTCCTGCTATGTGCTGCTATTTGCTACTTGTTATTTGTTGCTATTTGTTATTTGTTACTACTTGTTATGTGCTGCTATTTGTTGCTATTTGTTATGTGCTGTTTATGTGCTGATATGTGTTATGTGCTGTTATTTACATGCTGATATGTGCTGCTATTTGCTATTTGTTATTTATTGTTATTTGTTATGTGCTTCTACTTGTTGCTATTTGTTATGTGCTGTTTATGTGCTGATATGTGTTATGTGCTGTTATTTACATGCTGATATGTGTTGCTATGTGCTATTTGTTATTTGTTGATATGTGTTATGTGATGTTATGTGCTGTTATGGATTTACAATGTTATTTACATGTGTGTTATGGATTTACAATGTTATTTACAATGCTTTTATGGATTGTATGTTCAGGGATTGGTACCGACTATTCTTGAGACAAGCCAACATGTTGAACACAGACTATGTGTTAAACACTTGTATGGAAATTGGAGAAAGAAATATCCAGGGATATTCATGAA